CAAAAGTGCTGGGATTACAGGCATGAGCCACCACGCCCGGCCTTAACTAGTTCTTAAAGAATACGCTATGAAGGTGAAAGGGGGGCAGTCGGGGGAAGGTCATCTCAAGCAAGTGACATAGCTAAGGATGACAGCAGGTTGGGCATGGTGCCTCATGCCTTGAATTTTGGGAGGCAGAGGTGGGTGGATTGCTTGAGCTCAGGAGTTTGAGGCCTGCCTGGCTGACATGGTGAAACCCTGTCTCTACTAAAAATACAAAAATTCGCCATGCATGGTGGCGGGTGCCTGTAGTCCCAGCTACTTGGGAGGCTGAGGCAGGAGAATCGCTCAAACCCAGGAGACAGAGGTTGCAGTGAACCGAGATTGCACCACTGCACTCCAGCCTGGGCAACAGAGTGAGACGTGTCTCAAAAAAAAAAAAAAAACTCCATCTCTACAAAAAATATAAAAATTAGCTGGGCATGGTGGCACATGCCTGTAGTCCCAGCTACTTGGGAGGTTTGCCAGGGCCTAGGAGGTGGAGGTTGTAGAGAGCCGAGATTGAGCCACTACGCTCCAGCTTGGGTGACAGAGCAAGGCTCTGTCTCAAAAAAAAAAAAAAAAAAAAAAAAGGATGACAGCAGAACCGTCTGACTGGAATGGAGGATTTATGCAGTAGGTAAGAAACAGGCTGAGAAGTACTGGTGTATGACTTAAACTGTGTGGGTATTTCAAATAATTGAAAGTTTTTGGACAATAGAATATGTAATGCCTAAAGCACTGTTTTTAGAAAATTACTTTGGTAGTTGTTTAGAAGGAATTAATTCACAAAACCATTAAAATGATTCAAGTTTGAACTGAAAAAATAACTGATAAAGTTTAGAGACTGATGAATTTATTTAGAAATACCAGGTTTGGGCTGGGCGCAGTAGCTCATGCCTGTAATCCCAGCACTTTGGGAGGCCAAGGCAGGTGGATCACGAGGTCAGGAGTTTGAGACTAGCCTGATCAGCATGGTGAAACCCCATCTCTGCTAAAAATACAAAAAAATTAGCCCGGCGTGGTGGCACACGCCTGTAGTCCCAGCTCTTCGGGAGGCTGAGACTCGCTTGAACCCAGGAGGTAGAGGTTGTGGTGAGCCGAGATCATGCCACTGCACTCCAGCCTGGGCAAGAGTGAGACTCTGTCTCAAAAAA